ATCGTTTTACTCGTTGTAACCTCATCTTTTATATTTCATTTAAAAAATGGGTAATTTGTTGTGTTTTGGGGCATTTAATTAAATTTGTCACTAAATTTTGGGGTTTAATAAGGAGTTGCGCTAATATTGCGCAACATAAACATTTTCAACTACCACCATTTTATTCTATAGGGTCTTGGCATTCAGAAAATATATAATGTTGGGGGGTTTTACATCATTTTCAGGCCTAAAATGTGGAATATAACATGGGTGCAAAAAATGAAAAAAGGGCCTCAGTCATGAAGGGGTTAAATTTAATTTGGGACCCGTTCGTCGAGTCTACTGCTAGTTCATGCTGAGGCGGTCCCTGCAGTGCAGGCTGAGGTCTGTCACTGGCGGGTGGTCTACGTTGATTACTTTGGGGTATTAAACGCGCCATGACAGGCAATTCTATTTGCAACCAATCTGGGATCTCCACAGATGCTGTTCCCAACAGAGAAAATAATGCTGGCAGTTGATCCGGGTGGCGCAGTATAAACAATTCTCCGTTCTTGCGAATATTCAGGCAGAAAGGGTACCCCCAGGTATAGAGAGCCCCTGCGCTCCTTATTTCCGAGAAGTGGTTGAAGCAACCTGCGCATTTGAAGGGTGCGCCTGGACAGATCGGGGAGCAGGGTAATGTCAGTCCCCTCATATGTGACCGATCCTTTTTGCCAAGCATATTGGAGGATAGTCTCTCTTACAGTGTAATAGTGCACCCGACAGAGAACGTCCCTGGGGCGCGTTTCTCTATCCTGGCGCTGACCCCCAATCCTATGGACCCTGTCCAGTTCCAGGGGTGCGTCAGGTGGTTTATCTATTACTGTATTAAGGATATGGGTCACCACTGACCTTAGTTCTGAAGCTGTCGTTGTCTCTGGTAGTCCACGCAGTTTAACATTGTTTCGGCGCATGCGGTTCTCCAGCTCATCGTTGCTCAGCATCATGGTGGTAATCAGATGTCCTTGATGAGAGACCCTGGACTCCAGCTCCGACATTCGTCGCGACACAGCGTCCTGTTCTGCGTGCAACGTGGTGACCCGATCTTCAAGGTAGGTGACCGTGGATGTGATGCCGGCTATGTCCCGCCGGAGTGCCATCTCCATGTTTGAGACTATCTCCTCCATGTCTCGTTTAGATGGTAGGGAGAGTAAGATGGCAGACATCTCCCCTGCTGTAAGTGGTAGCCCAGTGGCTAATGGTGGTGCTCGTAGTGTGGGCTCATAAGGGGTTTTTGGTCTTTCCATAGCCGTATCTAGTGCGGTATGAGGGTTCTCGTTCCCCGTTGCTTTTCTGTCTCTTAGTCTTGTGAGTGTCGGCGGTCCCTCCGACTCCTGTGGTACGGGTGCAGTTACAGTTGCTGGCCACTGCGTGTCAGGTGGCGCCTTGCGGTTAGCCATTGTAGATCTCGTGGAGATGGAGGAGGACGAGAAAAAGGGGTGAGTCTCTCCTGGAATCCTCCCGATGTCCTCGCCTAAAGGTTTCCCTTTCTTAGACATCCGATGAATTGAATCGTCCAGTCTAAACGACTGGATAGGTGGCTGGGTGATGCTGCAGGGGCAGCGGTGTTAAGCGAGATAGAGCCTCACACCGCCATAGTCAGGCCACGCCCCCCGGAAGGGAGTCTCCTGGTTTTTTTTTGCATCTATCTACTGCTAGCAAGCAGTGGGTCTACCCTCACAATGCAAGGGTAAATGCTCGTTTTTGCTAGGTGCTAAAACTAAAATTATACTCCCTGGATCCTTGGAGTCGGTTTGCTCTTAGACCAGCCCCTGGAGCCTCACTCCACCTCTGCTACAGCGGTCTAGGGATCCTTGAGTGATCACGTTCTTTACACTGTGTATAGGGCGTGAACGTGCCACGGGACATACTATTGCTGCAGCAGAGAAGGAGACCGGCTTTAGGAACCTAAGTAGCAGTTATGACAACCGGCCGGCTCCGCCCTTCAAGTGAGTATAACTTTATTTTTTAGCATCTAGACAAAAACAAGTACATAACCCTTGCAGTGTGGGGGTGGAACACTTTTGCCCGGAGTTCTGCTATAAGTAATGTGTGTTTATTTTACTTTTCCATCTAGGAAGCCCACCTTCTTGTAAATGTTTTCTTTTTCTTTAAAAAAAGCTTCTATTGCTCCCCCGCATGCTCTCCTTCCTGTCCCCTACATGGATGCCTCCATCAGCTAAGCGGCTGCTATGGAGACACCCGTGCGTGTCTGTGCGTCCATAGACACACACAGCCCTACGGCAGGCAAAGCCCCTCCTCTCCTCCCTCAAAAGTGATTGACAGCAGAAGGAGCCTACGGCTCTTTTTATTTAACAGAAAATACCAGAACACACTGCAGAAGTGTGAAGCTGCCCTAAAGTAGATTGAAAATTCTATCTGTCTGGAAAGCTGTTGATACAGAGATTCATCTTACTGCCTTTTAACATACATTTTTATTACACTTTATCTTGTATTGCAATCCTCAGTTAGTGTTTCAAGATTATTATAATTTTTTTTTTTTTTACAGAAGTTTGACAGATGTACTTTTATTTCAGCCTAACAAACAAAATCTGTATATGGCAAGCAAGTGTACAATTTGTTAAAATGCTGATGCTCTTTTATTGACAAAGCATTACAGCCTAAGAGATATGCGTGATTACCAGTGTAATACTCAACATTTCAGAGTATTGTTATTACACGCTAGACTGAGATTAACATTTAATGTGTACAGTTCCAGTACTTCACATTTGATCATCTACATCTCACTTTTCCCTGTAGTAAATCTAGGCCACAATGTCACTGATCATTTGTAAGATTAGGATAACCCCTTTCAGCAAAGTGATAGCATGGCTAACTAGGTCATTTCTCTAATCTCTGGGTTAAATTTAGACTTGGATCTTTTGCTTGATGCTTAGAGCAGTCGTTTTAGATTCATGATAATTGTAAATTTGAATGACGTACTTTTTTTCTACTTGTAGCCGGAACATTATTTTTCTTGTCTCTACAGATGCTCGGGATATTGAACAGCTTCACAAGAACAACATTACTCACGTTTTATCTATACATGACAGCGCCAGGCCAATGTTAGAGGTAAGCAGGACTGCCTTTTCCTTTTCTCCTCTTGTTGGGAGAATAATTTATGACATCCTTCCACATGTCCTTGTCTGTAAAATGAAATGTACAGACAAGGACATCTCTTGAAAATGTTTTAATTCCAAAACTACAAGCAGGGTTTGAACGCTACATTAAGGTGTTCAAAAGCAAAACGTATCAACTATTTGACTATATATCGGCTATGCAAACAAATCACAACCTTTCGGATTTTTAGACGTTATGTCATGTTGACATGTTTAAAGGATGGTAACATCACTGAGCTAAAACCATAGCTTACATCATCTCTCGCTGAGTGCTCTCCTGGGCTTTTAAATAAAGTGCAGTACCCTATGGCAACCAATTACTTATCAGTAGTCATATCAGTTATTAATATTGATTTGTTGCTGTTTAACACGTTGCTTTGCAGTGCATATGTATGGAGTGCAAACTGTAATCTAAAGCATACCTCTCAACTTTCTGAGATGTGAAAGAGAGACATCTAAGTACAGTGCGTGAATGTGGCCTGACTAAAATGAAAGTGACTACATTTTCATAATTTGGCTATCAAAGAAGTCTCGCTTATTTTTCACAGCTCAGTCACCTAACTCCCACAGTGTATGTTGCTTTTTATCCCATGCTTCTGTGTGATGTATAAACTGAGATACAGACTTTGACAGTTACTCTGCTTCATTAACTGCCACGCTCTGCAAAGCAGATGGACTATTGATTGATAGCTCTTACCTCACTGTCTCAGCACTTTCCCAACACAAAACAAGGCTCCCCTTACAGTTCTAGTGCCTGCACTGATTCCCCTGAAAGTGTGCCCCCTCCCTCTGTGATCACGCTTGTGAATGAGATGAGAGCTGTCATTCACGTGGCCATCTCTTTTGCAGACTGTGATCGGGAATGAAGAGGAGTGAACTGTCAAATTCTGTATCTCAATTTCTACTCCCACACGGAAGCATGGGATAAAAAAACAAAACTGTGGGAGTTGGGTAGCTGAGCTGTGAAAAATAATACAAGGCAAGACTTCTTTAAAAAGGGATCGCTTGGGGAGCGCAAAACATTTACCGGTATTTCCTTTTTTTAGTAACATGATAACTAAGCCTTACCACTAGTTGCTTTTACCCTTACCAGAATGTTTAAAGACTACTGGCCAAATTACAAGAGACTTTACGGGTTTCCACCATGTTACATTTGCTTTATTGCGTTATCTATCAAAATATCAAGAATTAGTCAAGTCATTCTGTAGCGATTTTTTTTCCCCACAGTGTTCACATTTTGCAGTGTACCTGATCAACAAAAGTGCAAGATGTTTTGCAGGAATGAAAGTACTCCATACTTACTTTGCAGTGTCATTTGAAAGCAATATCACGTATTCATAATGAGCCACAGATTATCTCTGCTCTCTGTAGAAAACCACACTTTTCTCTGCACAGTGGATAATGGACATTTCTGAATTGTAAGGGCTGAGACGTCATGCATTGCAAAAAAAAAGATGAATAGATAAAAAATAAATCTGTTACAGTAATCCTCATCTGTGTTTCATACCTTGACTGTTCATGATCAATATGAAGGCCTACCTTTTGGCCAGGGTTTATTACATGATGAGTAGCTTGGCATCTGAGATATTCTGCAGAGCTGTGTTTAGACATGTGGCACGAACATGAATAAAAAACTGATTTTATTGTCAAATCAGATGTGATGCAATAGTAGCTCTGTAGTCATGGATACAGCGATGCTCACTGCTTCGTGCGAGTCATTATCAGCACCAAACCCCCCGAAAATTATTTCTGATAAATGGCAAACTCAGTTGGGTCAGTGTTACCTATTGGCCAAATGTCAGAGGTTGTAATCTGGCTTTGTTTAAGCCAGGCTGTACCAAAGCAGCAAATTCTTCTTCTGGCCGAAGCGGTGGCTTGTGGGAGTCTCCAGGACAAGTATGCAGTCCATGGGATTACATTAGTGGGACAATCCAGTGAGATTGCAGTTGATGACGTGAATAAGATATTGATTTATTGATTATTGCTTTAAAAGTTGACTAGGTTAGATTTTTTTTCATACAGTTTGGTGGTATTACATGTGGAGGAAAACAAAAAAAAGAATGGATTTTTGGTAGTTAAAACAATGAAGGAAATAGTGATGATGCCTATCATTATTTCTCTACAATAACCTTTCTTTAGAAATAATCACTCAGATGCTACAAATATTGATTAGTAAATACAATGCTAATCCGGCTTAGCTCTTTGTGTCATTAGCCCTCATTCACACTGGTATTGGCCCACATGTACAGCTCCGTGCTGCGTGCAGGGCCGAATCGGGCAGCTCCCGGGAAGGACAGGTGCTGCGTGTGATTAGTACGCAGCCCCCGTCCTTCTCTATGGGACTACGCGGCCATACGCCCCCCTATGCTAATCTCCAGTGCAGGTCCGTAGGGGTGCGTGTTTCCTGGCTCGGACGCAGACAGGATCCATCTGGTCAGCGTACGAGTACGCTCACCCGCACGGACGTGAATGGCAGGTGAGCGTAGGGGGGCGTACACCCACGTAGTCCAATAGAGAAGGACGGGGGCTGCGTACTAATCACACGCAGCACCTGTCCTTCCCGGGAGCTGCTCGGTACGGCCATGCATGCAGCACGGAGCTGTACGTGCCGGACGATTCCAGTGTGAATGAGCCCTAAGGCTGTCTTCATCATACTTCAATAGCTTTAAAATGAAGTCCACAGAGGCATATTTCTTCAGAAAAGCTTTTGGGAAATCTCCCTTCTTCTGGTCCAAGCAGCACCAAACATCAGTGCTTCTTTGAACAAAAGATGGTAGGGGATCTATCAAAAGTATCACTTAAAACAGCCAACTGTGATGTTGGAAAGCACAAATACAGCTACAATTGCCTTACCACTCTTTCTATGACTACTATTAGAAAGGTCACACAAAGCAGTTACTGTATGTCATATAAAGTGTAGAGTGCAGTTTTATCACAACTGTTATCATATTGTCTAAATACTTAAATCTTGGTGTGCTTTATATATTTATTTCAGAACTGTAAATGTGAAACTTTTCCTCTGTGCAGGAGCTTACTGTGCTATAGACTGGTCACTGCTGCTCTCTCCCCTTGTGCAGGGTGACTGGTATCCGCCTCCTCCTGTAGTTTTCCACAAGCAGCGTTTAGTGGGTGGAGCCTGTTGGGTACCTCCCACAGCTCTGTGCTCTTCATAGAATGTCAACCAGCTCTATTATCTTGGGATTTGTGTTGATGTGTTGACCTGAGTAAGGAGTCATCTCAAAGAGTTCAGCACATATGTCAGACATCAAACTGGTGGACGTCCTGTTTTCTTCCTTCATCATATGTGACATATGTATGGGAAGGTGTGCCACATGCTTGGTTCTGTACAGCCTCATCTCACTGCTGCACCTGCTGAGTAAAGCGCTGTACATCATAACAATGACACGTCAAAAACACCCATGTCCCCAGGAAGGGAGTTTTCTCTTCCTTGATGAAAGTGGGAAACTCTGTAAAGTAGTTATGTTTACTTTAAAACTAACAAACATGGAAAGCAGGCAGCTGCATAAACTGTCCTATAGCTTGCAGAGTGGCCTGAAAGTACCAACGCACAAAAAAGGCATCTATTTCTGAGGCAAGGCTCCTAGAACCCGCTATTGTTCCTCAATAATTATGGGTGGCCTCACTGACCAATAACAGGGTGTAGGAGGCAACAGGCCCAGATGCAAGCAGGAGCTATTCAAGATTTGCCAGGAAGGTTTTGATTATTGCTGTCAATGTCTGTCACTGGTTTACTCATTTTACAGTTACAAGTATTACTTTTTATATAAAGCCAAAACCGTTTTTCTAGTTTTGGATAGAGTGTCCTGCTGACAATAGTTTCACTAAACAGGAAGTGAGGGGGAAATATACAGGGACACAAGCAGAAATACAAATCTCACAGGGTTTCTAGCCTTCCTCTACTAAAGAAAATAATTTGAATTCTGTCTATGTTGTTGAGCTCTTCCTGCCTTGTAAAAATGATGTTAGCAGGACAAGAAGTGAGGGTAAATTTGTGTAACTGGATAGCAGTCACAACCAGTGATGTAGGGGCAGGGGTCGCTGCATACAGATTGTGTGCCGTTCTCAAAAAAACAAAGCACAAGTGCTAAGAGTGCTCTTACTGAAGCCTCCAAGTTGGATCTTTGGTGCTGCAGTTTCTCTTCTTTTACTTTTGCTGCTAATAGGATTAATGAGCAAGCTGTAAAAAGAAAAAAAAAATACCTTTGTCACCAAAAGAGGATGAGGGGGGAGGAATCTTCCAATGGGGAAACCTGTTTAAGGTTACAGCTGACTCATTTATGAGAGATTACCTCTCGTTCCCTGTTGGGTCTCTGAAACAGGAAGTGAGGGGAAGTCTCGCATGATCACACAGAGGAGAAAAAAAATGCCTGACAGCGGGTTTAAGCATTCCCTACACACAACAACAACAAAATGTAAGGTATATCATATTAAACATGTCTACAAATATTTTTTGAGCTCACAAAACTGCAATAGGACAAACTTAGGAACCTAATATTATGAATTCTATTCAATCCTACTCTACAGTTGAAGTGTGCTGCACTCACTAGATTCTGCTTCCATTAGGTTCTATGAAGATCGTTGGAGGTTGGAGTGAGCTATACTCACTAGATTTTGCTTCCATTAGGTTCTTTGAAGATCGTTGGAGGTTGGAGTGTGCTATACTCACTAGATTCTGATTCCATTAGGTTCTATGAAGATTACAGGAGGTTGGAGTGTGCATACTCACTAGATTCTGCTTCCATTAGGTTCTATGAAGATTACAGTAGGTTGGAGTGTGCTATACTCACTAGATTCTGCTTCCATTAGGTTCTATGAAGATCATTTGAGGTTGGAGTGTGCTGCACTCACTAGATTCTGCTTCCATTAGATACTGTGAAGATTACAGGAGGTTGAATTGTGCTATACTCACAAGATTCTGCTTCTGTGAAGCCT